ATAGAGAAAACCTCTATAATGTATTAAGATATTCCAATAGGATGTCTATCATTCCTACCACCTCAAAAGGGCCTACTTGTAACCTGAGAATGCTAGAAAGTGAACAGAAGTGAAAAAAATGATATACATAGGATTTAAACCACAGATTTTGCAATTGCTATATGGCTTATTCCAGTAATTAAACACCACTCCATTTAAGCAACTAAAACAATGCACATGATGTTTAACAAGATTCAGCACTGGCACAGAACAGACAAACTGGCTGGTTTACCACAACCATCCTCTCAATAATGAAAATTAACAGAGCTTTCTTAGGAAGTTATTTAATTCCGCTTGGTTTTTTCTGCTAAACGCATACAGATATCTTCAGAGATTTATAAATGTATATTTTAAAATTAAATATGAACGTACTGTTATATATATATTTATACAAAATGAAATACCACTACAATACATAGACTCTAGAAAAAGCATTTATGGACTACATCCAATTGTAACAGTCTCCTGTATAAACTGCAGCACTAAAGTTAAAGCTCTAATCAATGCATTTTCATTATTTATTATCAGCAAAAAGGCGGTAGAAAGCTCCAGCAGCCACTGGTACAGGTAGTAAGCTGAAACACAGTCTGTTTCCTACAAACTCCACTTTGCTGCGTCTGATTACACCACACAGAATGCCATTACAGCAGCAGGGGCATGACAAAGACTTAAGGAAAATGACAGAGGAGCAAGTAAGGGACCTGTATTCCTGCAGAAATGGAAGAAATAGTGTGGTGGTAGGGAAAATAATAATGATGGTAGTTAAATCATTTTTGAAAATGAAGATACAGATGCCACTTAAAGACTCCAGACTGGAAACGCTAATGAGGCCTTTATATACACTTGGGTCTAAGGACATGTTTATTTTTACCAGACAGTGTATAGTCAGCCTACCTCAATAACTTCCTTGAGTTCATAACACTTCCTCCACATCAACTTAATTTTGTCAAACCGCTTCTGCCTCAAACCATTCTTCAAGTCCTTTCAATGTCATTCGCAAACCTTCTGCTTCCACTTTGTAAGCTCCCGCTGGACCCAACCTTTCCCTTTCTAGCTTCTTCTAGAATTTATCTGTTCTCTTTCCTGGCTATCATACATTCATCACTTCTGATCTCATTCCTCTTTGTTACACAGTTCCCTGTTCTACATCTGTACAGCTACCAAAACAGAGGAGAACATACTCTTGTTTGACTCCTGAAGAAGACGAACCATAATGAGTTTACCAAAGTAGCCCAAAGCACTTATTGCACTGAAGGAGTAATGCCGAATCCTACGCAGGCACTCAGAAAAACGTCAATAGTTTGAGCGTCACACCCAACGCAGAAAGAGGTGCTCAGTCTCTCATTGCACTTGCCATAGGCGCCACAGCGATTCCCTCAGCCGAGGGGTGACCATCACCATTCCCCCCAGACTCAGCGCCCTGCCTAAGGCTCACTGCGCAGACACCAGTGCTTGCTGCAGGGCAGACGCCTGCGAAGGCAGCAGAGGGATGGAGGACAGCAGAGACGTGCACGCCGACGTCTCCGTCTCAACACTGGCAACGTGAAAAAGTTTGTTCGTTAGAGCTTTTGGCGGTTACGGTAAGAGGCCTGGCGGGGGAGAGGCCGACGAGCAACGGGGCGAGAGGAAAGCACTTAACCCCCCGAGGGCGTAGCCCAGCCTCCGCAGCCGAGAGGAAACCGCCGCAACCGACGAGGAAACGAGCAGAAGAGAAGTAGGAAAAGAAACTTTTATTTGGAAAAAAAATCCTCGGCGAGACGGGCCGCGGCCGCTGTCGCCCTACCGAAGCC